TCTGACCAAGAAGGGTAAAAGAATTGCAAAGAAACAACACTAACAAAGTTTAGACACATAAATTTTGAAGGTCTAGCTACCATATTATTACCCACAAGGGTAAAGGAACAGTACCACTGCTGGATAATTGGAAAGTCCCGGTGTGTCAACCTCTGTGCTTCGTGGCAAGGTAGACTAGCAAACATGCCCAACCTTTACTCACATTCGAGAAAAACACTCCTAACAAGATTGCTTGCTCCAAAATCGAAGAGGCACCGCCCTCCGAATCTCGAGAGCCAGACTCCCAATATGATTACTTTCTCAAAAATCGAAGAGAGGGTAAAGGAACAGTACCACTGCTGGATAATTGGAAAGTCCCTGTGTGTCAACCTTTGTGCTTCGTGGCAAGGTAGACTAGCAAACATGCCCAACCTTTACTCACATTCGAGAAAACACTCCCAACAAGATTGCTTGCTCCAAAATCGAAGAGGCACCGCCCTCCGAATCTCGAGAGCCAGACTCCCAACATGATTACTTTCTCAAAATCGAAGAGAGGGTAAAGGAACAGTACCACTGCTGGATAATTGGAAAGTCCCTGTGTGTCAACCTCTGTGCTTCGTGGCAAGGTAGACTAGCAAACATGCCCAACCTTTACTCACATTCGAGAAAACACTCCCAACAAGATTGCTTGCTCCAAAATCGAAGAGGCACGACCCTCCGAATCTCGAGAGCCAGACTCCCAACATGATTACTTTCTCAAAAATTGAAGAGACCACTCTCCAAATCTCGAGAGCCAGACCCCCAGCAGGATTGCTTTCTCAAAAATCGAAGAGGCATCGTTCTCCGAATCTCGAGAGCCAGACCCCCGACAGGTCTGTAATCTTCACACGCAACATCAGCTTTCCAGATACCACAAACCACTTTTTCAAAGTGCTCTGACAGAGTTAAAACATGTGAAGCTGGCAGCTCCCACTACCGTGCTATAACCAAGTAGGGTAAAGGAATAGCATTATTACTTGATGTTAGGGAGACTCCTATATATGTCGACTTCCATCCCTAACGGACAGGCATACCTGCAAAAATGCTCAACCCTTTCTCTTATCTGAGAGGGCACTCCCAACAAAGCCTTTCGAAATATTCAGCTTTCTTTCCCCCCGATAATACCTCTGTAAACAAGCTATAGTAGAGCAAGAATATCTCATATCATCAGGGTTAAAAGCAAGAGTATCCCATATCATGCTTTTTCCCTGTCTTTTCCTTTGGCCTTTTTCTTACCTGCAAGACAAGGAGAAAGAGAGCAATCAGTCAGCACTTGGAATCAAGCTTCCAGCCAGGAACTGACTGCCTGGAACCCCTTACCTGATTACTTACCTGGCATTGCTCTCGAGTACTCATCTTCAACATCTTATGCTTCCAGGGAAGATACCGCATCTGCCTGAGGAACAGATAGGGCAAGTGAGAAGGATACAAGGAAGCATGTGGAGACAAGCGTAACAGCACACGTGCCGATACATCCACTACTCTACCAAAAGCAAAAGTATCCCATATCAGCAGGGTCGAACGTACTCTAGATTTGATGGACTTGTTTTGACCCTCAAATTCTTCAGTCGGCCTTATACTCTGGAGGAAACCAGAAAACCCTCCAGCCCAGTTCAAGAATAAGCCTGTGGAAAGTTACTTCTTCAAAAGCAAAAGTATCCCATATCATCTCTCCTCATTTTTCTTCTCTTTATCCTTCATGCTGCCTGCAAGATAGGGAGAATGTGAACAATTAGCCGGAGCTCTGATTGCTTACCTTGTCTGTCACCTCTTTCAGTAGATCCCCCAGCTCGGCGACTTGGGGGACTCCTACTACATGGTTTGTATCTCGCTTGACCAAGCATGAAACTACAAGTAAGCTTCAAGTGAAATTGATACATTACCTTGTGCATCTCCACCAGTTACAGATACCACCCCTGGATGGAGGAAGAGTACTTCCAGAGAAGATGCCACATCTACCTATGAGACAGATAAGGCAAGTCAAGACGATACCACACTCCGGTACTTAGAAGTTTCGTGGCTACGAGATCATTCTCCCACAATATTTCCTAATGTCATTTGTACTAAATCATTCACTTGTACTCACTCAAGGAGAGCTTGAACCTATGTACTTGTGTAAACCCTTCACAATTAATGAGAACTCCTCTATTCCGTGGACGTAGCCAATCTGGGTGAACCACGTACATCTTGTGTTTGCTTTCCTATCTCTATCCATTTATATACTTATCCACACTAATGACCGGAGCAATCTAGCAAAGATCACAAAAAGTGACCGTTTTCGCTACCTAGGATCTATCTTGCAAGAGAACGGAGAATTAGATGGAGATCTCAACCATAGAATACAAGCTGGATGGATGAAGTGTAAGAGTGCATCCGGCGTGTTTGTGTGACCGTCGTAGGCCACTGAAGCTCAAGGAAAATTTTATAGGACGGCAATAAGGCCAGCGATGTTGTATGGCACAGAATGTTGGGCGGTGAAGCATCAACGTACACAAAATGGGTGTAGCGGAGATGAGGATGCTTCGTGGGATGTATGGGCACACGAGAAAGGATAAGATTGGGAATTAGGATATCCGAGGTAAAGTAGGAGTAGACAAAATTGAAGGAAATATGAGAGAAAATCGGTTCCGGTGGTTTGGACATGTGCAAAGAAGGTCTACTGACGCTCCGGTTCGAAAATGTGACTACGGGACAGAGGTTCGGGGCCGAAGGAGTAGAGGAAGACCTAGGAAAACTTTGGAAGAGACTCTAAGAAAAGACTTGAGTACTTGGATCTAACGGAGGACATGACACAAATGAGCGCAATGGCGTTCTAGGATTCATATAGCCGACCCCACTTAGTGGGAAAATGCTTTGTTGTTGTTGTTGTTGTTGTACTACTGAATAGAGAAAATCTTAATTGTAATCGGGTGTATACACTCAGGAATAGCTAAGGTTCTCCCCTACTTAGCGGTCTCTGATAGTATATGCCATAACAGTCGGCCAAATCACTACCACTAACTTAACTTTCAATTCAGCATTCATTTGTGACAATTATACACTTGCTCACTAGTGAAAGTAATAAATCTTTAACAAAGGTCAATATTGGGTACCATCAGATTCATCCATTGAGTAAACAAACGGACGGACTTGTTAATACCAGTGCCCTCAACTCTGCCTGCAAAAAGAAAACAACACAAATAACTAATTACTATGTTGAGAAGCATTTTTCTGGACATGCGAACTTTAATTTGTCCTCCGCAAACACAAACTATCCAAATTTACAAAAATAAGTGGCAATTTTTCAGACATTTGGACTGTATTATGTTTTTCTTTAGCACAAACTAAGCATATGCTGTAAGTGCAATCACTATAGTCTATAACACATTGCAATGCATATCATTGGTCAATTCAAAACCTAATTAACATAAATCTTGAAAACGGGCATTATCTGTTTCAATATATGTGATGTATGTATAACGTATCTCACCTTGCTTTTAGAAGTTGCAGCGGCCCATCAGTGTTCCCTCATATCAATGATAGCATATCCATATCCTTGCTTAGGTAACATGTGGCTTCACTACATGGAGACTGTTTAACTGCATTGACAGTTACAAGACAGACCAGGAATGTCGGTACTCGAGGCCTCTTACTAGCAAATGAATGCATAAAATTCCTTCTAGCTGATTGTTCCATTCTGTCAATGCAGTGATCCTTGAACCCATTACTTTGTCTTTTCAGGAAACATCAAATTCCAACAAAAAGAGAGACAAAGGATGAAGCTCCATCACATAGAAACAATCAACATCAACCAGGTCATCCACTCAGTCACACTTGACCCCAGTCAAACGTGAAAGAGAAGCTCCAGCTACAGAAAATCTCACATTTCAAATGATCTGTTGTTTATATGACTAAAGTAACTTGTTGGAGAAGGCATATTCTCATAACAGGAAATGAGCTTGTTGAATGCCAGTAGATTGTTTCTCAGTAGATTTGATAAACCAAGACTGTAACACTATTGACCCCATTCCATTGCGCCCAATCATTATTTGATAAATTCATATCACTGGAGTGTTGATTGGGGGTTGTGCAAATGAAGATGGGTTGTTGGGCTGGAATTGATCTGGCTGCTGTGGAGTAATTCTTTGTGCATCATTTAGGTAAGAGTAACTATTCCTGAAATGGTCTTGAAATCTAAGTTCTGCGCGGTAGAAGTTGTCTGTCAGCATATGAAGCCTAGCATCTGGCTCAAAAGAATAATAGGACAAAATTAAAAGGACCAAGAGGATTGGAGGAGGGCAGTGAGTTAGTGTACTCTCTCTACACTTAGAGATGGGCGCCACTACATAATCTCACTCTCTCTCACAGAGAGCTTGGTTTTTAGCCACGACATAATTTCACCATTTTCATGCTAGTTGGGTCTTCAGCCACCAAATAACCTCACCATTTTCATGCTAGTTGGGTCTTCAGCCATGGCAACATCACCACCCATCACCTCAGCCACTAAACCATCCATCCCCCTGAAAACCCAAAAACTTTGGTAGCTTCTTTCACAACCCTGCTTGCTCTTGGATGACTGTTGTTTGCTATTGGTACCAGTCTTCCAGGTACCTTTGTGAGTAATGATGCCCACAAAAAGTTGGTTTGGGTTGTCGATTTATGGGTTCTATTTTCTACGGACTGGTATTCTTATCTGCAAGATTAAAATACCATCTCTATATATGGGCTGGGTAATCCCTCACTTGGATAACATTTTGGTTCAGCGTCCATCAAGACGTTCATCCTATGAAAGACTTCCACTATCCGGATGAAGTCTTTCATGGGATGACCGTCTTGATGGACGCCGAACCAGAATATTATCCAAGTGAGGGATAACCCAGCTCATATGTAAATAGGGTATTTTAATCTTGCAGATAAGAATACCAGTTCGTAGAAAAAAAGAACCCAAAGAGAAACCGACAACCCAAACCAACTTTTTGTGGGCATCATTAATCACAAAGGTACCTGGAGGACTGGTACCAATAGCAAACAACAGCCCAAGCAAGCAGGGTTGTGAAATAAGCAGCCAAAGTTTTTGGGTTTTCAGGGGATGGATGGTTCATTAGTTGAGGTGATGGGTGATGCTGTGATAGGTGATGTTGCCATGGCTGAAAGCTCAGCTAGCATGAAAATGGTGAGGTTATGCGGTGGCTGAAGACCCAACTAGCATGAAAATGGTGAAATTATGTGGCGGCTGAAGACCAAGCTCTCTATGAGAGAGAGTGGGAGATTATGTAATGGCACCCAGCTATCTGTCTAGAGAGAGAGCACTACGTGGTGCCCAGCTCTTTGTCTAGAGATAGTAAACTACCTCCCTGCCTTATAGAACATTGAAAGTGGTAACCTCACTTACACATAGCAACTGTTGTTTGGAGCCTGTTGGATAGCCCCATTTGCTGTACAAGAGATAGAAACCTTTAAAATCTTTCCGTACTAGCCAAAATACTCCCTTCACTTGAGAAGCTAGTAAAACCGAAGAAAAGAAAAACAAATCTCAGGATCTACATTTATGAGAGTATTATACAAATTCCATAAGACATCAGATTATGTTGAACTAGGTCCCAACTTAAATACTCTGAGAGCAATGAGATAATAACTACTCACGTCTTCACTTGCAAGGTGAAGAGGTATTCCAATCACATACACTAGGCTCCGTTGGAGAACTCTAACATCAGTAAGATGCTGTTTCTTTACTTCAGATCCCTTGGGTTTTTTCTGTTTCCGCTTCACATTAATTTCAGTCACCAATCCGTTCAAGGAGGGAAACAGTTTCTATCCTCAACTTGTCAGTTGTCACATAACAACATACATTAACCTGAAACGATACCATGTGCTGCCACTCCAACAATTTCTTGTCATAAGGTGTACGACATACTGGACTGTGGCCCTCCTTTCCATCCTTCTCTCCCATTTCCATAATGTGATGCCAGCACCAAACACATACCTACCCCAGCAAATGGCGAACAATCAGAGGATTAGAGGAAGTCCACAAAGAAATGCCACATAAATCTGAATACATAGTTTACTTACCATGAAAAACTACCCGAAGAAATCAAATCTTTCGCCAATTATACGAATTACAATGTCATCAAATTTACACATTCATTCATCCAGACTTTTATATCAAAGTTATTTCCACTATAATCGACGAGTAAATACACACATTGTCACAAAGAAATTACATACAAATAAAACTAGCAAGTGAATTTAGTGTTTCGCTCAGACCTCATAACTGCATTTCCACGGCTTTAGTTGCTGATCCGTCAAATCCATTTCCTCGGCACATATCAGACACGTTTTCTCTTCGATTTCACTCATGATTTTCCTGGGAAACAAACAATGCCATAACCACTACTACCCAAACAAAGCAGTTATCGCACATCGACATTGATAATGTACTATTCAAATCCAAAACTATCCAAACGAAGTCCCTCGGAGGCATTGAAGCAAAGACTTACAGACTTACAGCGTGGGACGAAGAAGGAGGAGACGAGAAACAGGAAATGAAGTGTAGGTGATGAACCACTCGAGAGAGCCTAAGAAAGAGCTGGACAGGATAAAGCACGGAAAAGTAGAGAGAGAGAGAGAGAGGGGCGGGGTTTGAGGGTTGGGAAAAGTAAAGAGCCTTTTTTGGTGGTTTTTTGCCCGTCACGTAATGAGCCATCTTCAACCGAATGGTTCAGAGATCTAAAAATAGTTCGAAAATCGTTTCCAACTGAGGGTTAGGCCAGAGAACTCGTGGGCCTCACGAAATTTGAACGGGCCAGAGGGCCAGAAGGTTGGCCAGCCCACTTTGATTTTTTCTTTTCTTTTCACTTGCCCAGCCCGGTTCCATTTTTGTGTTTTTGTTATTTCAGCCCATTTTAGGGCCTTCAATTTTTTGGTGTCAGCCCATTTTTTTTGTTTTTTTCTTATCAGCCCACTTTTTTTTACTTTTTGGAAGTTTTTTATTTTTTAATTTTTAATTTTTTCCTACACCATTTCTCACATATTTTTTCACCATTTCATACTGTCTTACCTCATTTTATTTCAATTCTTCACATTTCATATTATTGCCCCTTGGCCCTCGGTTGGAGATGATTTTTTGTGACAGGGTTAAAATGAGCCCTCTGGCCCTTAGTTGGAGATAGAGGTAAATATAGCCCTGTATTGTTCATTAAAATATTAATATCTTGAAGGGCTAGATGGTTAAAATGAGCTATCTGGCCAACATTCGATTGGAGATGGCCTTACAGACATCTTATATTTTCATTAAAAATAAATTTAAATCGCATTACTATAATTAGTTGATTGTGTGGCCTCCTTGGGTTTGCAACTTTGCTACGAGTGAAGCTAGATTTGTGTTGTGCTAAACCACCTTAATATTTTGATAAAGATGGTTTTGATTGGAAGTGGATCCTGTTCGGATATATTTTGTGAAGATTCTAGGGATCTTTACATCTCAGTCATTTATCGTAGATTGTGCGATCATTTTTCGTTAGATACTATTTGTGTTTAATTTTAAATAAAAAAAAAAAAATTTTTATTGCCCGATACACGATGAATGACTAAGATGTGAGAATCTTATAATCACGACAAAATGAATCTGGATGGAATCCAATTCCGTTTTGATTGTTATGGTCTCTAGAAGCTACTGCTCAATTGATTCAATCCTTTTATGAAGAAAAAAACAAAAATTAATGATCCAATCATCCATGTACGTCCAAGTAGCCACACTCTACACCACCCTCCATCCGACACGTGGCCCAACATATTGCAAATTTCTGTTTCCTTTCCCGCCTCTAGTCCACACCTCAGCCCTCGCATACTGGGCACGATCTTGGCCGTTGGTTCAGCACCAGAAGACTAAAACCATCGCTAGAACCTTCGTCCCCGAAAAGCGCTTCCTATATATCCATTTTGCTGTGTCTGAAACTCACTGCTGAGACCTGTGCTGTGCTCAAATCCGAAGCGTTTGCTTCTACTTTCTAGCTAGATTGTTTGGATCGTAAGTTTTATTTCTTATTTTCTTATAAATTTCGATTGCTGAAATGATTGTTTTTCAGTATTTGATCGATATGTGGTCGTTACGTAATGGATATGTGATTAAACTTCCATCTATATGTTCATGAGTATTTGATTTTGATAATACACCTACCTTTGTATAATTTGAATGCGTGGAAGGATTGATCGTCAAAATGGTGAAACAATACCCGACTATGAGCGAGGAATACCAGAAGGCAGTAGAAAAATGCAAAAGAAAACTCCGAGGGCTCATCACTGAGAAGAACTGCGCTCCTATAATTCTCCGATTAGCGTAAGAACTCATAAACCTCTATTTATATATTTATTGATCTGACTCTTTTTGTCGTTGGCAATGATCGAGTGGGTGCTTAGTGTTGGATGTTTTGAATGATGGGCGCAGATGGCACTCAGCTGGTACGTTTGACATAGAAACGAAGACTGGAGGACCATTTGGGACCATCAGGCACCCGGAGGAGCTCGCTCATGAAGCAAACAATGGTCTTGATATTGCGGTTAGGCTTTTGGAGCCGACCAAGGAGCAGTTTCCGATCCTCTCATATGCAGACTTCTACCAGGTACATATCCATTAAGGGAATTCGTCTTATAAAAGCGATGTTCGACACTAAATTAATCATCGAATCCTAATCTTTTATTTGATGTGATTAGTTTTGTTATTTTAATGAAATTTGATGTGTTTTGCTGTGAATTGAAGTTGGCTGGAGTTGTTGCCGTAGAAATAACAGGAGGGCCTGAGATCCCTTTCCACCCTGGTAGACCAGTAAGTAAACCCTTGTTTTTCTCCGCAACTTTAACTTTTTTTATTTTATTTTATGACACTTAATGTCCCGTATTGTGAATGGAAACTTGTTAGTGGACTTATTTATAATTTATACACTATGATTTCTTTACCAATTTTTTCTCCCCTTGGTAATAATCAGAAGTTTTGGTAGGATTAAAGGATTTGGTCGACTGAAATTTGGCTCTAATGACATTCACAATGCAATATATGGTTTACACTCTTAGGCATCGTTTGGTATATTGTATTGGATTGAATTTGATAGCTTGCTAGATTTAATGTATGTAGCAAAAAGTGGATTCCAACTCCCAGACCTTGTTTGAGTTGATGGTAGAAGATGGATTATATATAAAGGCCTTCCTCCTTGGTAGGATTGGAAGGTGAGGAAGGGAGAGGTATTCATCTTCTACCTTCGAATTGGATAAGATTTGGGAGTTAGACAACCGTTTCTTGTTCAAGTTTAATCTAGTGACTTATCCAAACCACTAAACGAGGCCAGACTTTAGGATAGAGTAGATAATAATCATTGGTCGAACTTGTTTTCCTTCCTAGAATCATCTAACCTTGTGTACTAATTTTAGGATAAACAAGAACCACCACCAGAAGGTCGTTTGCCAAATGCCACCGAAGGTTAGTAGCTGCTAAATCTAGCAATTTCAAGTGTATGATTGTAAGACGAATGTCTTTAATTATTTCTTTCTGTGTTGGTATGTGCTCTAGGTTCGGATCATCTGAGGGCTGTCTTTGGACACATGGGACTTAGCGACAAGGACATTGTTGCATTATCCGGTGGACACACCTTGGTCTGTGCATGACCGTCACATTCGTCCTTCTGTCTAATTACCATAAGAGTATGTAATACTGAAGTATTGTGTATTTGGGATCTTTTTTTTGAAGGGTAGGTGCCACAAGGAGCGTTCTGGATTTGAGGGACCCTGGACAACGAACCCTCTCATCTTCGACAACTCCTATTTCAAGTAAAGATTCATTCCATTCAGTTTTACTTTTGCTGAATTAATAGCACTTTGCAGATTAAATGGAACCTTGCGCTGCAAGTCATCTAATTATCCCTTTTATACTGTGCATATGTTAATTTTGGTACTACTAACTATTTGTAAAGAGTAAGTATTGTCTGCCTGATTTACCATCATTTTTCCAAACAGGGAACTTCTTAGTGGGGAGAAAGAAGGTCTTCTTCAGCTGCCATCGGATAAAGCTCTACTCGAGGATCCAGTCTTTCGCCCTCTTGTAGAGACTTATGCTGCGGTTTGTATCTAATTGTGCAATTCTACTTAATCTAAGTAACTTATGGTTTTACCATGCAGTGTATGCATATGCTCTGCCACATTGATGATCGTCTGATCCAACTTTTGATTTCTTTGGTTTTGCTTCAATTAGGACGAAGACGCCTTCTTTGCTGATTATGCCGAAGCACATTTGAAACTCTCCGAGCTTGGGTGAGTACTGGAAACTTAGAACCCTAGTTTTTGTTGTTTTTCCTTTGATTATTCTCGAGTATTTCAATTTATTTATAAATCTGAAAATTTGACTCGTGTAACATTTTTCTTTTGCAGATTTGCGGATGCTTAGTAAAGGATTGTTATTTGTAGATTGGTGGGGGGCTGTCTTGTGCGATTTCTTCTAGATTTGAATGAACAAATGATTGTAAGATTATGGTATGTTATTTTCTGTCGAAATTTTTCTCTTTGTGATTGGTAATAAAACTATGGCAGCATTTGCTGCTTATAATATAATGTCATGTGTAGTCGTAATGAACAATGCTAGGAAGATTGTATTATAATTTCATGTTGTGTACCACTTTTTTAATGTAATGTTGCATGTGTACCCGTAATGAACAATGCTTCTAATGAATGTAATGTCACAGGTCTGCTGAAACTTGGCTTTCATGACATTCACAATGCAACATTTGGTGCACACTTTTGGCCTTGCTTGGTGGTTAGTATTGTAAGAACAGTTTATAAATTCTCATTCAAGGAATATAGATTCAACCAATCAACCACAACTCATATCAAACAATCAACAAGCAAACCGAAGAATGAATACCTTTAACAGTTCCGTGCCGGATTCGATCCAGATGATGAAGCCATTGCAGCTTCTTGTGCTCAAACCTTCTCTTTTACAAAAACAATAGCTCTTTCAATCAATAGGTTCTGGAACAAATAATAAGCCGGTGATTGCAAGAGCAGTGGTTTGAACTTTATATAGTGTTCCTCCAACTATTCCCTATCAGAATATACAAACCATAAAGATCTATGAATCTAATAAGAGTTCCAGTACTAAGTTCTAATCCCAAAAGTATTGAACTGCACTCAATTCTGTTATCCCAAAACACTAGGGATAACTAATAGCTTTTAATCAAGACTTTTCCACATCAATCTCAAACACTATAACCGGTTCTAACATATGCTTCATATTCATAATCTTACAAGTATTCAGAGGCAGATGCATTGAGGGGGCAGGGGGTTAGCTGACCCCCCTAACTTTGGTGAATGTATGGATAACTTGAGTGTTGACTTCCCAAACTTTGGTGAATACCCATAGATAACTTGGATGGTGCCCCTTTGTAGATTGGAGTTGGCTTCATACATGCCCTCCAACTGTAAGAGTAGCAATTCTTATTAATTTTTTTAATAAATATTACTTTGTCAAAAAGACATAGTTTTGGACCCTTAGTTTAATATAAAAAAAATTTAAAAAAAAAACACCAAGAGCCAAAAAAATAAACGCATGTAGATGGATATGTTACTCGAGGGAGATCACGGCATGGAGCTCGAAGAATCACAACCTTCCATCATTATCATGTGGAGCTCTTTGTTGCTATCGTTGATAAGCGACTTGTGGAATTAAATAGTCGCTTTGATGAGGTAAATACAGAGTTGTTTCTTTGTTTGGCAAGTTTGAGCCCGAATTATTCATTCTTGGTTCTTGATGAACAAAAGCTAATTTGTTTTGTACAATTTTATCCAAATGAATTACTACGTCAACTCTTGGCACTTGAAGATCAACTTGGGCATTATATTCTTGATATAAGTTCGAGTAGTGAATTTTTTCAATTGAAAGAAATTGGTAGACTTGCAAAAAAAAAATGGTGGAGACGGGGAGGAATAGAGTATATAATCACGTGTATTTGCTAATTACATTGGCTTTGGTTCTACCAGTTGCTACTGCTTCAGTGGAGAGATCTTTTTCCGCTATGAATATTGTGAAGACTCCATTGCGTAACCGAATGAGAGATCAATGGTTGATAGCATGATGGTTTATATTGAGAGCAATGTTTTTTCTTCCATTGACAATGAAGCTATAATGCAACGTTTTCAAAATATGAAAACACGTCGGGGACTATTGTAACTTGTATTGTTATTTGTTCTATAAGTTATGAATGATGAAACTATGATTTAATTTTTAAGGTTATTATATGTCTAAGAAATGTTTGCAAACTTTTTCATGTGGCCCTCCCCCCCCCCCCCCCCCCCCCCCCAAAAAAAATCCTAGATCCACCACTGCAAGTATTGGATTGGATTTGATTTCTCGTTAGCTTTAATTCCATCCTATCAAGTTGGAAGTTATAAGTTTTCTACCTTGTTGAAGGTATAAGACGGATTAGATACGAAGGAAATTTGTCACTTCCAACTTGGTAGGATTGAAAGGGAGAAGTTTCCGTTCTCACTAATTCATTTTCTACCTTTAACTTGGATAAGATTTGGGAGTTGAAATGAATTACTTGTTCAAGTTGAATTTAGTGAATTATCCAATACAATCATAGACTCAAACTGTCATGCCCCGATCCCAACATACGTTCAAGATCGACACGCGACACCAACAAATACCCGTATCTCTGATATACCTCGCCTCCGAGATATGTACAAAGCCTAATTCAATACTCGAATTGCTTTACAATTTTTGTATACTTTATGGCTGCATCTAACCTCCTCGTTAGACTACATACGTACCCTCATTTGGGATCAAGCCATTCATAGTTCGTCTCTCACAAAAACAGACATGTATCACATTGAGTTTAAGCAGAAAAATATAGCATTCCTCGATCATTTATTAGAACCTGACCAACATAAATTTCTGGACTCAAGGCTACATAGCAAACCCCCATAAAGAATCACGAGTTCTCTTCCATCCAGCAAATAAATCATTATGTCTTAACATGATATCGCAATTCACAACATATATCATATTAAAGAACTGACGAAGCACAAACCGTTCTTTAGCTACATTAGTTAACTAATTTGATCAAAACACTAACAATCATTTCCATATCTTCTAAATTCATACTTTATTAAATCATAATCGAATTGTAGAAGATCCTGAAGGAGTCACCAGACGTCCAACATCTTTTCTGAATCAATTCACATGATTCTCAGAACCATTGTCACAATATATATAAAATTAAGCCTAGAGTAACATAGTTAGGCCAAGCCTACTTCTCCAAATAATGAGATTTTAGACAACTCCACGAAATCCCACAACCTCGGGTTCCTGACCACTCAACGGAACCAAACTAAATATGATCGCCTATCAAATGGACCAAGTACAACTAATCATCATCACCTTTAGAATGCGTATGGTCTCCCATCGCGGATATACCAAGCAGGACCATCCATGTACCACTACTACATGGTGTAATCTCATCATCACACATAATACATAATTATACAATACACGCTATCAATTCCACATATTAACCAGCATCTAGTCATATGGAGCACAACATAAGGAATTCCCTTAATTACTATTTCTACTAAAAATCTAATAAAGTACCTAACTCATCTCCTGACTTCCATCTCCATCTCATGCTAGGTAGTAATGCCAAGTTCAATAGGTATTCAGTTGGTAATCATATCCAAAATATTATCAAACAATTTTTTTAAATCCCATAATTGTCATAACATTCATCATAATTATCAATCACATTATTAAAAAGATAGTTAAACACATATATATCACAACCTTCATCAGTGCACAAGCCAAATCCTATTTAATAAGCATAGGATGGCTAAATATATATAAATCACATTTCAATAGAAATCATATTTATAAAACCAATTCTTATTCACAATTGATACCAATAAAAGAAATTAAGATAATAAACATATCTCATATATTCAAGTCACTATCTAACCAACATAGGTCCATTGGTCACGCGCTTTCGCATGAGCCGCCGCGGGTGGCGGTCGGCCGCCCCGATTCGCTAGAAAAATTTAACTATTTTTAAAAATTACAAAAAATTACAGAAATGAAGATCTCTAGGAGTAGAGCAAACTTTATACCTGTGGCCAAGTCCAATTTGGCCGGGAAGAGCCTCAAATTGGCTTGCACCCGTCGAAACCCTAAAGTGGGTGTTCTTCAATTCGTCTCCCTTGGTGTTCCAACGCCCCAACCACCGATTGGGTCTTGTTTCTGGGTCCAAGGGAAGTTGATTAAGAGTGATGGTAAATGGTGATATTCACTGGAATGACGAATCGTCGTCGAGAACCCCCGATTCTCCGATGGAGTTCTACCCGAATTAGACCTTAAAAACCCTTGATTTTTGGTGGAGATGGAAGGAGGAAGGTAACTGAGTAGGTTGCAGGTGATGAATAGGTGCAAAATGCTTGAAAAATGAAGGATTTTGGCCTGAAATTGGCCGGGTCGAAACCTTTTTTTGTGGGTGCACGGGTTGACCAAATGGGGGGGGAATCCTTTCCCCCCTTTCTTTTCTTCTCTCGCTACTTCTGTGGCGCATTTTTTTTTTTTAAGCAACACAACTTCAAACATCCATAACTATACCGTTATAATCCGAACTCGCAAACTGTTTTTGCCTATGCATTCGTGACTTCAAGACCTATTCGAAAACGTTACTTGTGACCTCGAAAGGTTAACGAGTAAATAACATTTTTCCAAACTTCACTCTTCATAACTAGTTTAATTGAAATCTAATTTCAAATAAATTAATATAAATTCTCGAAAAATAATATAAATCTCAATAATACAAGTACGTAGATTATAACAGTGAAATCCAAGAATGGGATTTCACACAAACAAGACTAGACTTTAAAATAGAGTCAAATAATATTGCAAACTTGTTTATCCTAGATACCAGGGTCCAAGAAAATTGTACCCACCGTTAGATCCTAATCCTAATCCAATTGTAAATAAGTGCATATTGACACTAACAAAAAAACTATACTTGCATGAAATTCATGGATAAGATAATAAAAAAATAATAAAATGCAAAAAGAGTATCCAATAAGTCCAAAATTTAAAAACACATTAAACATATATGCCATATAACCATAGTGAGGAGTATTGTAGGATGACAAATGTACAACAAGTTCACAATTTTAAACCACTTAGACTTAGATAGGATTTTTTATTTGATTTTTTAATTTCATTTAAAATATATATATATAAAAAAAAACCGCCTAGCTCCGTCTAGCCCCACCTAGCCCGCCTAGAGCCAATTCTATTTTTCTAACCGATTTGCAAGAAAACGCCTCGACTCACCACCGCTTAGCGCCTAAGCGCCGCCTAGGCCCTTTTTTAGAATAGTGCCAATAGTAAATGGTCATTTAGGTCTCGTTTGATAGCTTAGATAGTACTGACTATTTCAGTCAGATATGATAAATAGTCATCGGATTGTACTGACTAAATTAATCAGGCGTTTGATGGAATGTCGAATTAATCTATACATCGGATAATGCGTCGGACTATAATAATTTTCAAAAAAAAATCACCAAATAATTGTTGTTAAAATGAATAAAAAGGAGAAAATTAATATAAAAAATTAGGAAAAAAAAAAAGGAAACCCAGTGTGGCTTTTTTTCTTCATCTTCCCCACCAGCTGTGTATCAAGAAATGCGGCAAAGACTGAGTACCTTTTAGATCTCAGCAAATTGACGACGAAACCGAAAGATCCTGGACTGGGCCGGTACGGTACGGTTCAGCCTCCATGTTGTAATTCACGATCGCATTCGGAGTAGGGCTCGACCTTTGAACACGCGAAACAGAGCT